TTTTAATAAACCTTTTGAACTTTCCTACTGACTGTCTCTCCTGAATACTGGGTCCCTTTCATGACAGAATATTCAAACAGTCTTGTTTGAATATTGATGAGCTACAAAACCTTAAGAAAAACAAGATCTCTTTCTCACTCTGACGCATGGATGATGGCGTATGTTGGGGTTTACAGTGAAAATCTCCATTAGCTTACAAGTAAGGCATTAACATTAAAGATTTCTATGCTTTAGGCATCACTTGGTGTGGTTTTGAACATTGCGTTTAATAAGAATCATAAATTATTTTAAAAAGTTGTCACTGTTTAAGAGAAAATTTATTCAGTGACTCAGACTCAAATAGCTGAAACAGGATCTACCTTTGAGTGCAGAATAAAATCAATAACAGCCGTTTCCTGTTCTAATAAAGGTTTAGGTTTCTGTGTGCATTTATGGTGACTGAAGACTTGGTTCGGTCTACAGCAGAGCGTCCATGTCCAGTTTTGGTAGAGGCTCCTTCCAGTTGGAGAAGCTGCTGTAGTCAGGATAATCCAGAACAGAGGAGTTACTGCCTTCAGAGAGCACAGGGAAGAAATGCTAAACCAACCCACTCAGGTGGTTATACCTGCAAAACAAGCATCCAACCAAGATGTTACAAATCGTAATCCATGAATGTATTACAGCATGTCACAAATATTCATTTTGATGTAACAGCTTAGGTTTTACTATTGGAAATGAAATTGTACTGGTGTTAGACTCACAAAGACTTGTTGCCTTTAGTCATCTCTTGGATAAGCTCTGCTTTAGGGTTAACTGTGAAGATTCTAGCCTCAGATACTCCAACCTGCTTATAGGCATAAGCATCCTGCAAAGCAATACAGATAAGCTTCAGTGCAAAGGTTCTTGTGCTAAATCTTTCAGAGAACACCTAAATGACAAAAATCAAATAATACAAAACATTTCTGCAACCAGTGTGGAGTTTAGCTTACATTAGTCCTGTTGCCGAAGGCGGCGTAGAAAGGTTGTTTGCGTGGCCTGAACAGATCCCTGATGTCACTAAGGCAGGCGATCTTAAAACCTCCGGCTTTTTCTCGGTCACCTCCCAGCAAGAGTTAGGAGAGTTATTTTTTATTTTATCATTTCAAGTGTTTTATATTTTATATAAAACCAAATGTGGCAGCTGACAGTCCTCCGTAAATATAGAGATATAATGCATTTCCAGTGCATTTTAGAGCACTTTTCAATATCCATTCATTTGTAGACACTGATTCTGGTTTAATTTAATGTCAAAATAAATTGCTCCACATCTATAGATACCAACTGTATTGACCATCCAACTGTATTGACCATCCTTCACAAAAGAAATCATCAAACTTTTTAATGACAGTTCTGACTGTGAAGACATGCTGTAGCTCCACCGGGAAATACTCCACAAGAACCCAGGTGTCAGGATGTGTAGAAGTTTGTAGCTGGACGCAAAATGCAAAGGCAGAGATGGTTTCTGCTGGGTTGAATGTTGAAGGCAGTTGTGGTATAAATCCAAAAGTAATCTGGCAGGGAACCACCAGGTGATTATCTCCCTGATTATCGGGGCCTCTTGGAAGGTGAGACTGCAACAGTAATCGCAATCTGAATGCTGGTTGAGGTTGGGGTAAAATATGCACTTTTTTGCATATTGCACTTTGCATATCTGCATACTGCACATAATGCACAATATGCACTGTTTTTGGTCCACTCTATAAAGCCTCGAACTCAAAGCTATTTCTGACATTTTGAGTTGAAAAGGCTTCCTGGGTGGGAGATGAAACATCTTCAAACTTGGAAACAAAGTCCAATGGATTGTTTTTTGACTTTTTTGGAATAACTATGACCTGGATGATTGAAAATCTTCAGTGAAATATGCACTAGTAATGAAAAAGTTTAACAAAGGGTTAAACATGACTTAAAATAGGTGTGAGTCAACACATGACCCTCAGTACATATAGCAAGAATAGTGTGTATGTGTTATTTACCCTTGGATCACACATGGAGAAATTGAAAAGGATCCCAAATGCAAACAGGAAAAGTCCCAGTTGGGCTTAACTGGAACATGAAGACCAGAGAACCAGAAGTTTATAACCATATTACCTATTGGTGTAGGAGTAAATCTACACCAATCATTATCAACAAAGAGGAGAATGATTTTAAAAATGTCAATATTTACCATATAAATCCCTGATTAAATAAAATGACATACACATATTTATGATGCCTAAGTGAATCATTTACTGTTCTGAATTATCTAAGATAATCTAAGATATTGGATCTTACCCTTTATTTACACTGACTGGTGATGTGCAGGTCTGCCTAAAATCAGATTTTTTTAGGTCACATAAAACTAGAAATCTTAACATATATTTTGACACCTATAGTATAATAATTACATTATTTATCCATCCATGTCCTGCTTATCTGCCAGGCTCATCAGGCAGGATCCACCTGAACAGGTCGCCAGTCTGTTGCAGGGCAACACAAGATATACAATCATGCACACACACTTGCATCAAATTCTAATTCAGATAAGGAAGTGCCTCATAATGAATCCTGTCAAAGCCTGGGACATATAAATCCCAAATAAAGCCAAAAACAGCCCTCTGTTCCTATCTTAAAACAGGGTTGGGATATTACATTCCCTTTAGACGGATAAAATTAACATCCTATATCCCGAGAAACCAGTTTGTTCATATAGTTTATCATTCCTGCCAGAGGATTAGGTGATGTTACTGTAGCCTTGGTGACAGGTTTGATGTATCTGGCTCTGTGGCTGCAGCACCATTACCTCTGAGGAGATAACATCAACAGACAGGACGTCATGTCACACAGAGTAATGTGTATTTACACATTTTTATTTCAACATTCAGTTTCATCCTGCCAAGAAATGACAGAAAAAGTCCTGATGAGCTTTAGATTAAATGCGTTTATGAACCAGCATGACAAAGAACTTCCATCCGTGTGCACAGCCACGTTCTGCTAAGCAAAGTAAACTATTTCAAAGAAACGCAAGCAGTAGTTTTGATATATGAAGCAAGTAAACACCCCCCCTGCCTCACTATTCCTACAGCATCACCAGTAGAAAGACCTATTCCTTACAACACTTTGTGATTCTCATTGTTAGGATATCTAACACATAACAGAAATAGGATGAATAAAATATTAAAACCAAGATGTTTAAAATGAAACATAATTTGCAAATAAATTTAAATCGACTGCATTGATCAGACATTAATGGCTTTTTGTCCTTTAAGTCGGAGGTCTTAAACAGGGGGTCTGCAACCACGGAGGTACTGCATTGGGGTTGCGAAAGTTTTTTGTTGATCAGACTTTTTTTTTAATATTACCCCGTGCAATTTTTTTCTACTAATTGAAATGTCTGTAAATACACATTAACATGAATTCAACAGACTTTAGTAAACAGATAAATTGAGGCAGATGTCTTTCAGTCATCAATGCACACCTTCAGCGACACAAGGAGCTCTTTTAAGCTGGGCACCGTTTCATTCACAACACCTGTCCCATCAACGAGGAATCTGAATCCAAATTAGGATAACGTTAATAATCCCAGTGCAAAATTACTTTCGTTACATTACTCCAGCTGTAATGGAGTGACTATAGGACCAGTTTCTGCTCTCATATCCCTGTTGTTATCCCTTTGGTATGTGCTGAAGCCTGTAGTAGACTCTGTTCTGACCTAAATCCTCTTTAAACAGGGCTTTATTAGGAACATTGATAAATGGAGAATGTATACATTTTAAAGTGTCTCTTAGCAACCCTGGAGCACAAGGAAAATGTCATACTACTACTTTAATGGCAAGCTAACCCATAAAAACATGCAACATGACTAATTGCACCCAAAATAAAAAGCACTTAGAAGCAACTGTGTGGTGGAGAGGAGGGTTTTATAAAAGCTGGCTAATGGGGCATCCATCTCTGCACGTTCTACTAAAAATATGCTTCAACACACTTTTTCATCACCAATTCAAGTAAACAGAATAAACAGTCCATGTTAAAGGTATTTAATACTTCTCCAGCTAATTAAACCAAACTACACAGAAGGTAGACAACATAAACAGACTGGAACAACTAATATTCAGCTGCATAGAAATCAATAAAAATTAAAAATATTTCTGAAATTAATTCACATAAGCAATTACCTAAAATGTAAACATTTTAATAGTTGTGTAGAGATTAATTTAAGGTTTTCATGAAAGCTTTTTAAACCTTTATTCTTTGACAAAAAATAAATTTAAAGATCATTTTTTAAAAATTTAAACCGCTTTTCTAGACGAACAAAAAAAAAAAACGAGGGGCTTCTTAAACCTAAAACAAAACACAAACACAGAACAGTGTTTTTGTTGCAAAACAGCACTGTGTGAACTGATTGTTGTCCTGGTGTAGGATTATATGCCGTACAGCAGAGAGGTGTTGTTTCGGATGGTTTTGAGCACCGTGGCCTCGTCTTCCCCCTTCAGCCAGCTCAGCTCATGCAGGGTATGGATACCCATTCCTGGGTGAGAGAACTGGCACACATCTTTGCCAACCTGTTGGCAAATAAATCAGAATAAGTATGAAATATAAGATAAATAGGGAAATAGACCATCTGCATTACAAGGCATCATAAATATTTTTCCATCACAGCAAATCATCAAAAGTGGATAACTATGATTATGTGAATATCAATATTTCATGAAGGCATCCTCCATATCAGAATCAAAAAGTTGCACATTGGTGAGGAGAGCAAGAATCTAGAAATTAAATAAATTAATTCAAATTCAACCTAAAGGATACTTTATTCCAGATTATTACATTTTCACTGATCAGATTATTTCCTGCTTTTTTTAAACGAGTCTCAAATAATTACCTTATTGGAGGTACGCTATATAAGATAGAAGGGTAATTTAACTATTTGTTTTAGGTGTAAAGACAAGGGACACATCTAAAAGTTGAGACTTCGATCCCAGACATGTCTGTTAAATTAAAAACTATAAGGAAAAAATTAGCTTATAGGGCAAACTTGAGCTAAGCGGGACAGGCTGTACCCTATTAGAAGGTGATATATGTAAGGTAACTTTGTTTACCTATTTTTTCTACTTTACATTCTTTACTTAACAGATGTGTACTTCTTTCCTTAAAACTAAAACTAAAAAATAAAAAAGGTTAAAATCTGATTTTAAAGAAATTAAACCAGTTAATGAAATATCTGAACAAAAAGAAGGGCCATTGATGACTTCTTATTGTTTCCTTTAAAATGTTTTGGATCCCCAGTTCAAACATACCTGTCTTGGTAGGAAATAGGGAGCATCCGTCTCCAGAACAATACGGTTCAGAGGGATCCGGCGAACGGCGTTCCGGGCTTCCCTGGCCTTGCTGTAGGTGATCAGTGCTGTGAAGCCCACGTACAGGTTGGGGAACTCTGTGAGGAAGGGCTCGATCACCGAGTAACTGTTTGTGAAACAGTGTCTGAAAAACACAACATTTAAGACCTAATAAGACTTAAGGCTTAGAGCTTAGGGAGAGTCGTTAAAACACTATGAACTTGCTGAGGAAATACAAAAAGATCACCACAATATTGAACAAGCTCATCGTTTCCAAATATTGTGTTTCTCTACTACTTGTCTAAAGCAAAGTTACGCAAAACAAAACGGGAAACATAATGGCCAACTTAAGTTTTTAATCTATCCTTAAAATGCTGGTCCTCCTCGGATGTATGGTGTATTATAGGAGTATAGTTAAAACAGATTCAAAAAGGTAAGAAGTGGCAGAATTTTAGAGAAAATATGCAGGAATGAAACACAGAATATAAAATTCAACGAAGAGGAACCGTCAGAGTGAAGACATGCTTTGTCCCACCTGTGAATTTTGTGATCTCTGGGCACACACTTCTTCATTATTTCCAGCAGGTCGTCATCTGCATCCCTGCAGTGGATCACCAGAGGTTTCTGCATGGTTACGGCCAAACGCAGCTGACGTTCAAACACCTTCGCACAGAGGTGTTAATCCGAATGTCAGAAAACATAGTTTATCCAATTCATTACAATCCACTGTGACTAAAAGTAAATGGACATAAAAAAATATATATTAATGTTTTTTTTCTTGGAAAATATAGAGCTTACTTGTTTTTGCCTTGAAGAGTCAGTGGAGTTTTTGTGGGAATAATCCAGGCCCATTTCACCAAATGCCACCGCTTTTGGATGCCTCATTGCCACCAGAATATTGTTTTCTTGAATATTTGAGTAACTTCTGGCAAAATGTGGATGGCAGCCAAATGCTCCCCATACCATGTCTTCAGAAAGCAAACCTTCCCACAAGGCCTCCTTCATCATGACATATGGGTTACAGAAGTTGGTGATGCAGCCTTGAAACTGGGGAGTGAAGCTGCTGCTGTAAACCTGCCTGAAGCGGCCGAACGTTCCTTTGAATCCAAGTTTTCCATAGAGCATGTCCAGATGACAATGTGTGTCGATGAAGCCAGCCTGAGAGTTACAGTCAGGGTAAGTGGTCCACAGAGGGTTAGCCCCTAAGGATAAACTTCTTTTGGAGGGGAAAACAGATGATGAGGAGGAGTGAGGGTGACGCATCGAAGTGAAGCAGTCACTTTGTCTACATGGCGCAACTGAATAAAGTGGCACATTGAGAGAGTCCGATGTACTGGTGCCAGTGGATGAGTAAAAATCCTGAGTGCTAGCTCTGAAGCGATTTAAAGGCTCCATGTTTGGTTGGTCCTGCTGCATGAATGAAACACAAACCTCCTTTATTTCTGGTAAAACGTAGGACTCCGTTCCATCTGAGGCTTCCTGCTCAGATTCGCCATCATTAACAGTAGGTGAAAAGGAGGCCGAAGACGTTGCCCCCAGAAAAGTTAGAGGAGTTTTTACAGTTAATTTACAGTTGGGGTTGGTCTCCACAAAAACAAGATCCTGAAACACAAAAAATTTAATAAATATAAAGTGCATCTCCCTTGAAGTCAGAGACACAATATTTAATGTATTTTGTTGGGACCTTATGAGGTTGACCAACACAAAGTAGTACATTACCACAGTGAGGAAAATAAGTATTTGAACACACTGTTATTTTACTTCTCTCACTTAGAAATCATGGAGGGATCTAAAATTTTCCCGCAAATAAGCATTTGAACACCTAAGAAAATCAATGTTAATATTTGGTACAATAGATTTTGTTTACAGAGGTCAAACATTTCCTGTAGTTTTTTTCACCAGGTTTGCACAGACTACAGGAAGGATTTTGGCCACTCCTCCACACAAATCTTGTCTAGATCAGTCAGGTTTCTGGGCAATTGTTGAGAAACACAGCGTTGACGTCCCTCCAAAGAGTCTCTATTGGTTTTAGGTTTGGAGACTGGCTAGGCCTCGCCAGAACCTTGATATGCTTCTTCCAGAGCCACTCTTTGGTTATCCTGGCTGTGTGCTTTAGGTCATTGTCATGTTGGAAGACCCAGCCTCGACCCATCTTAAACTGAGGGAAGGTCTCTCCCCGTCATGCTCTGCCCGCCTGAGAGGCCTCCTCCTCGGGGGAGGGTGCTGGGGAAGCCCCCTTGACCTCCAGGACTCTGGTTCTGTGGTAAAAAGGCACATTTCCTCCAGGGTCCCAGGTTATTCATCCACAAAGCACACCCCCTGAGCCCGCCTGCAAAAGACCTCCCTCCCTGCAGCTTGTGGAATACTGGTTCCAGGGGGGTCTCTCCCACTCATGCTCTGCCCGCCTGAGAGGCCTCCTCCTCGGACAGGCTGCTGGGGAAGCCCCCTTGACCTCCAGGAATCATGTTCTGTGTTAAATAGGCACATTTCCTCCATGCTCCGAGGTTATTTACCCACAGAGCACACCCCTGAGCCCGCCTGCAAAAGCGGTGGGACTTAGAAAAATTTCAGAGCCAGACCCATGGTACAGCGGTGGGATTTAGAAAAATTCTTGATATCTGGACGGCTCCATGGGCCTTGGGGCCCACAGAACCGTCCCTGGACGGCCCGGCAGAGGCTCTGCCCGGCCTGACCGACACCCCTAGGCCCTCTGTCGGCCTGGAGCTCAGGACTCTGTCCTTTTGCACGCCTTTCGGACCCCTGGTACGGCAGGCTCCAAGCAGGGAGGGAGGGAGGCCCCGGAGGTCGGCCAACAAAAACTTGGATCGGGGGCTGACTTTCAGTAGATCGCAGCGATGGAGCTGCTCTGCTACGTACGAAACCCTGACCCAGAATCAGGTCGTCTGCAAGTCATTTAGCACCACGTTCTCCACAAACATGCGATGCGAGATCGGGGAGGGGGTGACCATCGTCCGGCCACACCCCAGCCCAGTCTCGAGCGGCTCTCCTCACCGGCCCGGAGCCGGATATCAGAGACCAACATTGCAACAACACATTATCAGTAGGGTAAAACTAACCTGTCTCACGACTGTCTAAACCCAGCTCACGTTCCCTATTAGTGGGTGAACAATCCAACGCTTGGTGAATTCTGTTTCACAATGATAGGAAGAGCCGACATCGAAGGATCAAAAAGCGACGTCGCTATGAACGCTTGGCCGCCACAAGCCAGTTATCCCTGTGGTAATGACATGCATTACTTTTGGTCCCTCTAGGCTTAAAAAGAAAGGTTCTTTATTTATCCTCCTTGAGCTGTACATCTCTTAATTTCTCTTTTTCTGTGTATCTCTCGTTTTATCCTTTTCTTGAACTCTTTGGCAGACATCCGTCCACTTTTTGTCAAGTTTTGCCCTTTAAACAGATGCAGGCTGGGGATGAAACTCAGATAGGGAAAACACTGTATTCAAACTCAGTGGAGCAAAAGATTAGATATTTATAAAATTTAACAGCTACTATACCACTGTATTGCTCTTAATTTATAATCTTGACAGATGAAATTTACAGCTGACTTACCCTGGTATCCGTTTTCGACTCTGAGCAGGAACTTTGTGACTGTGAGTCCTCAAACAGTGCTCCGACATCCTCATAATTGCTTGGACTGCTCAAGCAGCGGTTTCTATTCACAAAAGGCTCCGCAGTTTGCTCTTCAGCCTGTATAGGTGCAGGTACAGCGTGCAAAGGCCCACTCTCAGTCGCTAGGCTGGGGTCTTTAGTTTCGCCAAGGCTTACTTTCGTCTTGCCAATAGCGTCAATCAGTGCCATCCGGCAGATTGCCCTCGATCCCTCCTCAGGTGTCCTTTCTTTCTTTTTTAAGAGGAAAGAGTGATTTGAGGTTGGTGATACTGTTTGACTTGTTGGAGATTCTTCTTGCAGGAGCAACTCTTCTGCATCAGATCTCTGAATCAAAACAAAAAATGAATCAGGATTTTATTTTCAGTAGGACTTGAAGTGATCTTGACTTCTAAAAAAGTAATCATTTACCTCAAAAGCTTTAAAAGTTTCAAAATTTTCCCTGGACTGTTTTCTAAGCTTGGCTTTGCCTGCAGATGGCATGCTCTTACAGAACACATCTGCTTTTCTTTTAGGCGTGTCCAGACTCATTGCTCCAAGTAGCTCCGCCCCTGGAGAGTCAGTGAGGGGGTGAGCAGTTGACTCTTCGTGCATTGGTGTGTTGTAGTAAGAAACCCCTTTCAGCCACTTAAAAGACACCTTCTTCCTGTCGCTGTCCATTCCTCACTGCAAATCCTTTGGAAATAAGCAGTGAGAGTTTCAGTTTAGAAACAATATCAAATCAATTTCTAAATAAATGTAATGAATAAATATAAAAAAAACTTTTACACTGGACTTAATGCAATAAGGATTCTCTGTATCTCTTGACTATTTAACCCAGCCACTGGAACCTTGATTTCCAAATGAAATTCAACATATAATTTAATTTTAATACAAGAACTACTCCTTTTTTCCCTTAGCCAAGTTAATATGTCTGATACTTAAGTTCCGGCTCTGGAGTGGCTTGAAACAATGAATGCACCAGCTGTAGATCATGTCATATATGTAGCTGGCTCTTAAAGCACCTAGCCAAACCTTTTGATTCCCCCTTCGTAATCACCTCACTTATGCAAGCAGGCATTATCCCAGTTGCTTTTGCACCTGTTTATAGCCACAGAGTTTTCCTTCCACTCAAATTTTAACAATGCTAGAATACAGTACCCTGACCAAGCTCATTTAGAAATGCCTAGGGCTGGGTACCGAACATCAGTTCTTTTATGGTACTGACCGAAATGCTTCGGTTTTACAAAGTATCGTCTTTAGGTGCCAAGTTTCGGTTATTGGCTGTAACACTTAACGTGACTGCAATCTTCCAGGAAAAATACATAGGTGGTCACGCCTACAGCCAGGGTTCATGTGTATCTGTTTTGAACTGCTTGCGAGCGTCGTGGAACCCCTTTAAAATGCCCCCCAGGTCAAAAGTGTGGCTTCTCTTTATTAAGACTGATGCTAATAGTGCGCAATGCAATACATCGTGCACGGAAACAATTTAAGAGCAGAAAGTTGCACGGTGTTTGACTGCAAGAACAGCGGACCACAGCCGGTGCAACCATACTCCTCTCAGCAGCCCCTGGGCAGTGTAAAGCCAGAGCAGAGTGAATCATGCTGCTTTCACACCGGGCGCAGCAGGAGCAGCAAAATCGTGTCTGCTGCTTCCTTTTTGCTGCTTGTACCAGCTTCTGACACGCGGCTGAAGCAGCTGTGCTGCTCTGGCTGCACGGTTGAAAAGTGGCTCTGACGTGCGTTGGGTGGAGCTACTCTATCCTTTCTCTGCCTTGCAGCTATATTTGCTGTGATCAGTGGGAATAAAGTAGTTTTAATATGTTTTTTTAAGTGGGAAAATCCACCTGAAAACTTAATCAGTGCAGTCAGTTCATCCAGATTACCATCATGCCTGCAA